AACATGAGAACAACGTAAAGTTATGATGGCTTCTTCTATGATATATCACCTACTAATCACGAGAAATTGAAGCTGAAGTGGAACTTGTCATAGTGGAAAAAGAACAAAAGGACTAATTGGTGAGCGATACACTGACGGCATAATTTCTGCAAAGCAGAAATTATGCCGTCAGTGTATCGCTCACCAATTGTATGTGTAGAAGAAAACAAGTATGGGCAAGTGATAAAGATATTTGAGAATTGTTCTAATAGAAAAAGAGGTATTAAAACGATATCATGGCGAGAAAAACCCACCTTTTCTGCTTTACAAACTTCTTCAAGCCTGTGCGCTAGCTGTGCATCAGTGAGTTTGTGGAACCGCAGGATGGCGCACCGAGACTGCACTGGCTCTGAGCAGAGAAATAATCACTTTGGAACCAAAAGCTATTTTTACATTAATACAATATAACGCTAAGGATATTATCCTACTATATATAAACGGCAACGTCTGTCTGTCTGTCTGTCTGTCTGTCCTGTCCGGAAATTCGGAATCACCTGAAGAGCCAGTTGGAGGGGGCGGGTCAAGGGTGGGTTGGGTAGGGCATGGGCCAAGATGTACGGAACACACATGAACTAAGCTAAGCCCGCCCACTGTGGGCGGGGCGTGCGCACAGTTGTGAGCTATATTTCAAAAATTCGTAGTTCGGTTCCAAAAGAGCCCCGAGAGCGGAAAAAGTGGCAAACGATAGGCAATCAGTTGGCGGACGAAATCAATGAAGCACATCCATGATGGGCGGGCGTTCTTTAGGGTGGTTGCTACGAAAATTTCAAAAATTCGTAGTTCGGTTCCAAAAGAGCTCGGAGAGTGGGAGAAGTGGCAAACGATAGGCAATCAGTTGGCGGACGAAATTAATGAAGCACATCCCTGATGGGCGGGGCGTTCGCCGAAGTGGACGATGCCGAGGACGAAAACCCTCAAAACGCATCCGAAAGACCTCGGGAAATAGGGGAGCAAGCAGTGGTTTGGCAGATGAAGTTAGTGAGGGATAACCGTAGGGAGTATACCAAATGGTTGGTACCGTCGGCAATAGTTTATTCTGCGATTCCTCATCACTAAGGGGAGTGCCGCATAGAAAATTTTGATGACTGTCTTCTAGGGGATACAAGAAGTGAAACGGTAAAGTGCGGTAATTCTCAAAATAATATTTTTTTCGACCATTCGCCCGGCGAAGCCGGGCGATCCGACTGGCCCTCATGTAGAAACTGTGGGGCACTACCCACTTCACACGCGGAAGGAGAATCGCCCGGCGAAGCCGGGCGATCCCACTGGCAACCGGGTAAAGGGGAAATTGCAGTTCGCCATTTCATGGCTTGTGTTTACTAAGAGCCACACTACCAGCATTGACGAAGTGGGTAAAAAGAGCGTAAGAACAGAGGGATAAGGGTATAGTATGCAATGCTAAATACATAACCCTGATTTCAAAGCCAAAAAGACCACGCTGGAGCAAAGAAAAACTTTAACAGAAACGAAACCCCACCAATGATTTTGTCAGATTGATTGCAAGCCAAGGCAAAACGTGTCGTTTCGCTGTAGTTCTCCATAATCCGTCGCAAAGCCTATAACATTATACATCCATAGTAATATGAGACTAAATAGACCTAGTTCCGATACCTGTTGTGCCCCCTCAGTCATCGAATCTGCTTCATCAAGGATTATCAACTTTTGTCGCTTAGGGGGGAGAGTGACTTTCGTCTGACAGAACGACTTAATTTTGTTCCGCACAACATCAATACCTCTGAAAATAGCGCTTAATTAATACTATCTTATTCAATGTTTCCCTGGGATTCTTTCTTTAAGGCACTCAAGACGCATTCAGCGTTGAAACCGAACCTGTTACGTATATAGAACAGGGGCAGGTTTAATAAAAAGGTGAAGCACAGATGGTTGATAAAGTGGTACTCCTATTTATACTAAAACCTTTCACGTTTGTTCACAAATTCTCTGGAAATCTATGGCACATATATAAGGGTGGATAGAGAGCATTACTGTTCCGACTCTTCTGTGCGATGTCAGGATGTTAATGTATAAGAGAGGTGTGGGAGAGCGCACCACGGGCCTCTGTGTCCCCTCCCCTAACCAAAGTTCAGCGATTCTCACCGTTTGCGCTCTGAGTCTCTCCTTGATAAGGGGAAGAGACACAAAGGCGCACTCTTCCCCTAAATGCGCATGCGCCAACGAAAACGGAGAGTTGGAGAATGATGGTAATGTGGGTTGGGCTCACCTATCATCGGAAGCGTTCAGTTCAAGCACGCCGTTCTTCACGTGCTCTCCTAGTGATTCTCTCGCCATAGCCCAAATAGCAGTCGTTTTACCACAGCCAGGTGGACCCTGAAAAGCCGTTTCTACGGTTGGAAAACAACGAATAGTTATAACAAAACGAACTGAAGGTAGACTTACCGACATGATGAAGTGTGGCGGATTCCCTTTCTCAACGAAGAAACCAAGAGACCTAACAATTTCCTCATTTCCAACTATTTCCTCCAATTTCTGTGGGCGATACTTCTCGACCCATGGGATTGTGTCATTCTTTGACATGTTTCCTGGAACGTCTACAGTTGTACCTGGCATACACAAAAAGAAATTTGACGAATTTGACGAATTATGTAATATACAGGGGCATCTTGTGAGTTCTTGTCAACATAGAAACTACTTCGTAAAGCTTAGAGCGCGAGTTGTATTGGAAGGTGTGAGGGTGTAAGCGAGATGGGAAGAGGGGGGGGAGAGATCCCCGGAGATTTTGAACTGATTGTTTTGAACAAGTGCGCCCATCCTTCCCTAAGTTTGGGCAAGCTCGTAGTCGCTTTTTGGCTCAACCCACTACCTTTCCAAACTTGTTTTGCAGGCACTAACGTTGCCAGTGAGGGAATCGGGACAAGACGGTAGCTTTGCTGAACTTTTCTTTGACCAAGGCCTATATCTATTGATAGTGGAGAAGTCTTCTCTGTGAGACTATCCCTCCGGGATTCTGGTCGTCTGCGCTCTTAGCATAGCCTTAGTTATGCGAAAGGACACTGAGGCACGACCAAGCTTCCCCTCTCCCTCTCCAGCTTCCTCTCTCCTCTCTGCTAGCTATGTTAGCACTGGTTTACCTCTTTCTAGATGCCATACGTTCACAACAAAACCCGAGCTAGCACTATGAGTTCTAGAGGGATTTGCAGGACTTTATAATATGGCTACGATATGTTAACAGGGATCAGCAGATGCCGCGCTATTACATCACTGCTAGGAAATATTCAATAACTACATTTTACATAGCTTCGATAAGAATATA